TGGTATTGTTCCACTAACCAACATTAATAAACAACATGGCGGACTTGACCTGTCATAATGCCCAGGCATCAATCACAAAAAGTGTGGATAGCTGCTAGAATTTGTTACAAATTTTGAGCATAAACAAACATTATACGATACAGATTGTACTGCTGACCCGTGCGTCACTTATTTTCCCTCGTTCGCCCCCGCACGTCTCCAGACACTGCCAAGCATGCCTGTGTGTTAATTAGTAGGACCCCTTATGTTATCTCACCAACTTTTGCTTTGTTTTTTGTGTTTTATTTTGATCATTTTGCTGAATTTACATCGCTAATTGAATTCATGCACATCATTTTGTTTTTCAGTTTGGATTCAAACTTGCCGACATGCATACAATTTATATTCACAAATGCTGTATCAGAGCCACATCTCTGACACGTCTTGACTGATGGAAATCAAACTTTACCCCTACATTATACATCATGTCACACATATGATTCAAGAAAGCTTGATGACATATGGGGAAGTATCAAAGTGTGAGGTTGAAAGCCCATGAAAACTAATGCTTTTACAGTAAATATTTTAGGTGTGTTTACAGTGTACAGTTGGAAATGGATCATTTCCTCTGGTGTGAAGTGACAAATTACAAGATGAAGCCGAGGAAGGGAAAACTATTATTTTTCAAATTTGGCTTGTTTTAATTACTATATATCGGTAATCTAAGTAGTATGCTGTGTTCTCTTTCATGTTTTTCTTAATAGTCTAAAAAAAAAGGTGACTGGCGATCAAAACATGAAGAATTTATAGCAAATATAAGGGCTGCCAGAGGTGTTACCCATGCCTTAAAAACTGGTGCTCCTCTTCCACCTCCTCCTAAAGCAACACTAAACTTAGGTAGGTATATAACATATACATGTTTATTAGTCCTTCTCGGATGCAGTCCGGAAACATGAACTTATGGATTGACTACAGTGAACAGCTAAAAATTAGCTAATTATCATGCAAATTAGGTAATTAATATGCATATATTTTAGCAAAACCAAATCAAATCTGCGCATTGGGCCAGAGCATATATGCACCAAGTGTCATTAAAAACCGATGTGTGGTTCTTGAGATATCAGTGGAACAGAAGGACACACACATACAGACAGGATAACTGCAAAGACTCCCATTGTGTGCTTTGCACTCAGTAGTCAAAAAAGTGCAAATTCATACACCAAAATTTTGGCAAGTAATACTATGTATAAAGGTTAATGCAGGATGAATCTGATTTAAGTTTGTTAACCAATTAGAACTTACCTTTCTAAAATGTTTCCTGTAACACAAGTTCTGATTTGTTGCTGATCCTATGTATATGGTATCGTAGGAATCCTCAATCAAAATAGCATGCCTGCTAAGTTGATGCACAAAAAATTTGCTGTGACACAACTAGCTATGCCAATTCACTGAGGTGTCATTGATGCAACAGAAATTATACATTGATATAGGAGTCTCAAAAAACGACTTTTACATTTTATAAACAAAATAAGTGTAAATAAGATGAATCAGGGGCCACAACATTCTTGTTTGTGTTTCAAGTCACCTATATGACAGTCAAGCTATTAGCGCAGGAATTTGCAACTGCCAGTCCAAAACAATTCAACTTCCTGAAAATGTAGATGGTTTTGGATATATTTTGGTAAAATTATCAAAGAACAATAGGAAAAAACAGAAAAATGGGAAAAAGTTGCCAGTCTAAAATCAAAGTTGCCAGTTCATTTGGTGGGTGGACTGGTGGCTGGCTAACACCCTGATGACAGTCAACAACTTGAATCCCAATGTGTCCCATTACATTGTGTCAGGTATTATTTATTTGGACGAACAAAAAAGTTTCACAATCAACTTCACCATTATGTGAAAACATTATTATCTGTAATTCCACAAGTAAATTTGTTTTTTTAATATTTTTTAGACTATGTTGAATGTCCAACGTGTAATAGGCGGTTTAACGAAGGCGCTGCTGAAAGACACATACCATGGTGTGCAGAAAAATCAAAACGGATAGCTCCTAACGCAAGTAAAAAAGAACAGCTTAAAACAAGAACAGGGGTAAGTTAAAAACTGTGCTGTCAACTGTGAAGCAACACAATAAGCTTGTCACTTTCACAGAACATGTCATTAAGGCCTTGCTTTTCAAAAATCGCCTGCAAGCTTAAAATGGGGCTCCTGTACAAAGTGATGCAAGTAATTAGTGAGTGATTCTAGGAGCTATTAAAATCTTATTAAAATGATATGCATTAAGAAGGTGATGTTTAGGTCATTTTAGTTTTGATTGGGTTGAGTACAGTGATAATTTGCCTTAAAAAGTATGTACAGCTTACTCAAAACAGTGAAATTCTGCATGTTAAATAGGTTATAACATAAAAAACCATTGTCGTTGAAAGATTATAATCGCAGATTTTGTTTGTAAATAACCCTTTTAACATACTGTAAAATACTTTATTTTAGCTGCAATTAATTCTCGCTGAAAAGGCCTTTTGAGTGTTTTGTATCAAATTTATTTTCAGTGATTTTTGACGAGTTGAATGTGAAATACAAGAAAAAAAAAGTATATTCACAGGATTTTATTTTCACTGAACCATCCTTTCAGCGAAAATAAATTCCAAGCGGAAATAAAGTATTCTACAATACATAAATAATTAAATGTTTTAATTACATGACAATGACATGTGTACTACCATCTACATTCTCTGTCCCCCTGCATGGAATCACAATATTTAGAAATGATATCTATCTTTGCTGAACATATTCTGAAGTCAACCGCTAGAAGACAATATTGATGAAGCTTTGTATGCTCTAATTTGTTTAATTACTCACACAGTATAAACCACCATTACCTGGACAGAAGAAAACCAGTCCAACTCAACGAGTCAGTAGTGGTGGAAGTAGATCCAATAGTGCTGGTAAAAGGGATTCTCCCAATGACAGAACGACAATCAATGGTAGAACAGGTAAATTATAAACATTGAAGGGTGGTAGCCGTTGCGCTATGTCCTGTTTGATATGGGACTCAAATGTATACAGTGCGCATAAAAAACATTGTTTGTTTCATGAAATTAGAACGTGAATTAGTATTGCATAATTCGTTGATTTGGACACAAATCATCGACTTTATTTTTGTTTCACTCTGTACGAAATAGAGAGCCAAATCCTGCTGAAAATTGGTGTACAATTTCTGTAATTTTCCCATAATTCTTTCTCAGGTTTTGGACCAAACAGACAAAATAGAACATTACTTCTCGTTTATATTAAAAAAGGAAAATTTTTGTCAACATTTTATGTTGAATTATTTTGTGGATGGTGCCTGTAGTTGATTTCGGCGCTCAACGAGGTTAATCACAAATAATTTGTTCTCACTATACATGTATGTAATGAGACCTCAAAAATGTGTGATAATTTTTTACACCAAAGGTAATTCGGTGATCATATATTTTTAATGTGCATTAATTAAACAAAATACTCTATGATTTATTCGTTAATGTTAGACATATACATAATTTTTCAAATAAATAAATTGTTTCACAAAAGTTGACTGAGAGTTGACATTTGTATTTGTTTCTTTCTGACAGGCAGTGGTGGGCTAGCAAATGGTTATACTAACAGAGGAAAAAAACAAAGTTTAGAGAGACTGCCAGGTAACAGGAATGCTGATTTAAACAGGTAAGATATTTGTGCTTCCTCCCCTTAACAACAATACTGTATATCGCTTTTTAGCTCCGCTGTCGACTTTGTCGAGCGGAGCTTATCATATGAGTGATTGTCTGTCGTCGTCCGTGTCAATGTTTTACTTTTTCGACTTCTTCTTGAAAACTACAAGCCTGAATGCTTTGATACTTGGTGTATATGTACCTTGGGTAGACCTCTCTTAGGTTTGTTCATTTCATGTTGATATCTTCAATTCTCTAATTTTGGTGAATATTTTTGTAATTTTTGGTAAAAAGTGATATTTGCGACTTCTTGTTAAAAACTGCAAGTCCAATTGCTTTGATATTACATATATAGGGGCTACATGTGGACCTCTCTCAGATTTGTTCATTTTGTGATGATATCTTTAATTCTCTAATTTTGGTGAATATTTTTGTAATTTTTGGTAAAAAGTGTTATTTTCGACTTCTTGTTAAAAACCAATAGTTCAATTGCTTTGATATTACATATATAGATACTACATGTAGACCTTTCTCACATTTGTTCATTTTTGGTAAAAAGTGATATTTTCGACTTCTTGTTAAAAACTGTAAGTCTGATTGCTTTGATATTACATATATAGGTACTACATGTGGACCTCTCTCAGATTTGTTCATTTTGTAATGATATCTTCAATTCTCTAATTTTGGTGAATATTTTTGTAATTTTTGGTAGAAAGTGATATTTTCGACTTCTTGTTAAAAACTGTAAGTCCGATTGCTTTGATACTATACATATTGTTCATTTTCTATTGATGTCTTCAGTTCTTTAATTGAAATTAACAGCGGAGCT